AAAATGTTCCATATTAAAAATTTATTAAAACCTAATTAAATTCTATAAATTGGACTTAATAAGGCTCAATAAAGTCATATTACAGTTAATAAATTGTTAATATAAACAAATTAAAAGATGAAAGACCTTTGCTCTGTTTATAACAGCACATATAAAGTTTTATATGGATTCTTTATTAAATTTTTATAAAGAATTTATAAAACTTTTATTAAATTCCTTATTTGGAACATATTAATTTTTTTTCACGGGGGGTGTCCTATTTTAACTTGGACAGTAAAATATCTCGAAAACTGAGCCCAGCAGACAAAAATGTTTCAGACAAAAGTTGTATGGTTTCGAGGGGGCCATAAGATGGTATCATTGGTTTGACCTTGAAGAATTATTTGAAGGTCACATAAAGGTCATACCAATTTTTGAAAATGGTGTCCCTTATTTTTTATTACATATTCTTGTAGCTGACCTCGAGAGCTTTCCAAAACTATAATAAAGTATTTTTTTATTAAGAACTTTTTGAGTTATTAAGGTTTGAAAGTTCCCATATTTTGACATAAATTACAGAATATCTTGTAAAATATTCATTTTTTTGTCATCTTACCTTAATACATTTTTGAACAGAATAATGAGACAAATCAACCGGTGTAAAGAAACACACAATTGTTAAAAAGAAATTTTTTTATTACTTGTTACAAAAAATATGAATTGAAATTAAAATTATTGAAATTGGTTTCTAGGTATTAGGCAGAGTATCTTCGAAAAACTTTCCCAATGGAACAGCTGAATTTGGCTGTCAAAAATGCAGCTAATACAGATACAAAGAATGTATAGCTGTTGATAAAGCGTTATCAATGTTTACAAATGCTGACTTAACAAAATATCAATATGAGGTTATTCGTGAAACATTGAAAAAAACCTTGATAAAGCTATTCAAGGTCATAGTGATATTAGTATGAAATGCGCCACTAAAAACGATACAACTTTAGTGTTTAACATTTTTTTCTATCTTGAATATTTAAAAAGTTATTCTGGAATTTCAACGTAAATATACATATATATGTATGTATAAACTGAACCGTTGCACCGATTATCGTTAAATACAATACCAGCCATCTTTTAATCACACTCAATAAATGTGCCAAAGTAGAAGGCGATATCTCAAAAATTGCGGAGGTGAGAGCGCGAACAATTATTGCGCGCGCGCACACACACACGCACGCACGCACGCACGCACGCACGCACGCACGCACGCACGCACGCACGCATACACACATTTTTTAAATATGAGCGAAATCTAATTTTCTTCAATGATTCTTGAAAGTGTGCAAATTAGAAATTTGCACATTCTTATTTCGCTCTTAAGGGGATGCTGGAGTGGTGTGATTTACCGACAGAGTCGCATACAGTTTTTGGGGGTTTGTAAATCTTACCTCGAGGAACGTAACCTCAATATGTCATATTATAGATACAAATATAGATACCAAAATAATTATGTAGCATTTATGTACAAACTAATACCAGACCCAAGTGTAGAATGCATAGTAGAACATTTTTATATAAAAAACATTGAGGTTTGAAGTCTAATTCGTATCGCATTATGTATTGCAATATTTGTAATACATAATGCGATACGAATTAGACTTCAAACCTCAATGTTTTTTATATGAAAATGTTCTACTATGCATTCTACACTTGGGTCTGGTATTAGTTTGTACATAAATGCAAATAATAAGATTTACAAACGCAAAAACGGTATCCGACTCTGTCGGTAAATCAAACCACTCCAGCATCCCCTTAAAGCTTCCTCTATGAGGAAGCCATAACAATGGAAGCAATGTGCAAATTTCTAATTTGCCTACTTTAATGATGAGGAAGAAATGTGCAAATTTCCAATTTGAACGCTTCAATGCTGAAGAAGCAATGTGTAAATTTCTAATTTGCACACTTTCAAGAAACATCGAAGAAAATTAGATTTCGCTCATAAAGCTTCCTCCATGAGGAAGCCATGTGCAAATTTCTAATTTGCACACTTTACTTTACCTTACTTTTTTTCTAATTATATATTATATTGTTCTTCAGTTTTTTCTATGAAAATTTCATATATGATTCATTAAAATAACATTAATTAGTTCTTGTCTATAACTCAAGAACTAATTAGTTCTTGAGTTATAGACATTTGAAATTTTTGGAAATCATTTTTAAAGATAATTTGCGATAGTTACAGCCACCACAGACATTTTTCAAAAACAATTCAAAAGCACATAACTCCGAAAGTACCTAACAAAAATATACTTTATTATAGTGTTTTGGAAAGCTTTTGAGATAAGCTATAAGAATATGCATTTAAAAAACGGGTTTCCATTAAAAAATTTCAAGGTGATCTTTACGTGACCTTGAAGAAGCTGTTCAAGGTCATATTTATATTACTATGTAATGCATTACTTAAAACCGTACAACTTTCGTGTTTAACATTTTTTCCATCTTACATATTTAAAAAGTTATTTAGAGTTACCTTATAAGGATACATACAGACATACATCTGTGTGTGTGTGTGTGTGTGTGTGTGTGTGTGTGTGTGTGTGTGTGTGTGTGTGTGTGTGTGTGTGTGTGTGTGTGTGTGTGTGTGTGTGTGTGTGTGTGTGTGTATGCGTGTGCGTGCGCTTGCGCGTGCGTGCGTGCGTGAGTGCGTGCATACGTGCGTGAGTGCGTGCGTGCGTGCATGCGTGAGCGCGCGTGTGTGTGTTGTATATGTGACGCAATTAAATCGAACATCAGGGATGGTGTTCAAATCCTATCATGAAAATTTTAAAAGTTATTCAGGGATAATGCTAGAAGTACCGTAACTTACAAACTTCATAACTCCAAATGTACTTAACGCAAACATAATTTATTATAGCGTTTTGGAAAGCTGTTGAAATAAGCTACAAAAATATGTAATGAAAAAGGAGGGTTCCATATAAAAATTTCAAGGTGATCATTAGCTAACCTTGATAAAGCTATTCAAGTCATAATGATATTACTATGAAATGCGCCATTAAAAACGATACAACTTTAGTGTTTAATTTTTTTTCTATCTTCGATATTTAAAAAGTTATTCAGGGATTAATACGAAGTACCGTAAATTTCAATCGTCATACCTCCAAAAGTACTTAACGAAAACGTACTTTATTATAGCGTTTTGGAAAGCTATTGAAATAAGCTACAAGAATATGTAATGAAAAACGAGGGTTCGGTATAAAAATTTGAAGTTGATCTTTAGATAACCTTGATAAAGCTATTCAAGGTCATACTGATATTAGTATGAAATGAGCCACTAAAAACGATACAACTTTAGTGTTTAAGATTTTTTTCTATCTTGAATATTTAAAAAGTTATTCAGGAATTTCAACATAAATATACATATATATGTATGTATAAACTGAACCGTTGCACCGATTATCGTCAAATACAATACCAGCCATCTTTTAATCACACTCAATAAATGTGCCAAAGTAGAAGGCGATATCTCAAAAATTGCGGAGGTGAGAGCGCGAACAATTATTGCGCACATACACACAAACACAAAAATTGTTTTTTTGAGTTTTTAAAACATTTTAAACCCATTGGCATTGAAAACTGGAAAAAAATTTTTCGCATGAAAACAAAGCATCCTCTATGAGGAAGCAAAATTGTGTTTTTTTTAGTTTTTAAAACATTTTAAACCCATTGGCATTGAAAACTGGAAAAAAATTTTCGCATGAAAACAAAGCTTCCTCTATGAGGAAGCAAAAACGGATTTGATATTTTGCCTACTTATAAAAAAGTTTTAGAAGCTAAGAAGGAATATTATCCTCAAGAAATAAAAATAACGGAAACTAAAGCCGAAATAGATATACATATAAAATTTATTAAATCGTACTGTACAGAAAATTTTTCAAAGTTTCGATGAAAAGACCGTTTCACAAATAGATAAAGAGGAATTAGTTTTAATTTCCAAATGGGGATGTGATGGCACTTCTGGTCAAAGTGAATTTAAGCAGAAGCTTTTAGAAATGTTAGAGATAGTTCTGATGCATTTATGTACAATAGAACCTCGGTTATACGGCCTTCGATCAACCGAGGCTCCGCGTTATCCGAGCCACCGGACTTATCCGAGCACTCCGCGTTAATCGAGGTGTGCGCTCGGATAATACGGAAAAACTCGGATAAAACGGATGACGCCGCTATGCTGTATGCGCGGACTAGTTTGCGATTGCAACATACTTTTTACTTACAAGGAGCACAGAGCGTGTAGTAACAAGCATAAACTTGTTACTACACGCTTTGTGCTCCTCGGTTGAGCTAGAATTTAACAGTTGGGCTTCAACAGTCATTGGAAAAATATTGCCATGTCGCAGAAGCGGAAAAAAGTCGTCGTGAGTGTAGAAAAGAAGTTGGAAGCAATTAGAAGATTGGATAGAGGAGAAATAATTCGCAATGTCGCGGCCGATTATGGTGTTGGAGAGACCACCGTAGGCGATTGGCGTCGAAATCGATCTAATTTAGAGCAATTCGCGATAAAATCCGGCGGTGCGATGACAAGTCGTAAAACGATGAAACCGGCAGAGTATGATAAAGTTGACAAAGCTTTATTTCTATGGTTCACTCAAATGAGAGAAAAGGGACTGGCAGTATCAGGTATGTATAAACATTTGTCGAATATGACGGAGTTTGAAGATTCTTGTTCGATACAATACCATGCAAACAGGCTTTTTCCGAACCTTTCTTTTCCTTTCTCCCCTTCAGGCCCCATTCTACAGGCAAAGGCCATGATGCTTGCAAAACAGTTTCCCGATGAAAGCACTTTTACAGCAAGTTGCGGATGGCTCGACAGGTGGAAGAAAAAACACGCTATTCGTCAGTTAAGCATCTGTGGCGAAAAAATGTCAGTTGATGAAGGTGGATTGACTGAGTTTAAAGAAGAATTCAATAAGCTTGTAGCGGAAGAAGGATACTTGTGAGATCAAATTTATAACTGCGACGAGACTGGCCTAAATTTTCGAATGATGCCTTCTAAGACATTAGCCTTACGAGAAGAAGCGGTTGCTCCGGGGTATAAAAAGAATAAGGAAAGGGTTAGCATTCTAGCATCCAGTAACTCGTCCGGAACACACAAACTCCCACTAATGTGTATCGGGAAATCGGCTAAACCCAGAGCGATTAAACACATCAAATCGGAAGCCTTACCAGTGTACTACGCGCATCAAAAGAGTGCTTGGATGAGTCACGATCTTTTCCAAAAATGGTTTTTCAAACTATTCGTCCCTTCGGTTGAGAGATTTTTGAAAAAAATGGTCTTCCTAGAAAAGCGATTTTGTTACTCGACAACGCTCCATCGCACCCGAAAGAGTCGGCTCTCAGAAGTGAAAACATCATCGTCAAATTTTTCCCACCGAATGTTACCTCCATTGGACAACCAATGGATCAAGGCGTACTCGAGACATTCAAACGTCATTACCGACGTTTTTTACTTCAAGAAATTCTGGAAAAAAGCGCCGCGAGTAGTACCTTCAAAGAGTGTTTGCTTGCAATAAACATGAAAAGCGTTATTTACTGGTCAGCTCAAGCTTGGGATGCTGTCCAAAGGCACACGCTCGAAAGGTCATGGGCAAAAATCTTGTGTTCTAACAACCAAAGCGATGAAATAGCAGACGATGTGGATTTGCACAGCATCATGGAGCAGATCCCTGGTTGTGAAAACGTCGACAGAAACGACACTGAAGAATGGGTTATGGTGACGATTGTAAACAGGAACTTACAGATGACGAAATTGGCCAACTCGTAAATTCTGGAGAAGAAAACGCGGACGATATACAGGGTGTATCCAAATACCCGTATCACCCGTAACTGGCAGATAGACCGGGGCAAACTGAATAGAAAAGTCCTATACCATTTTGCAAAATTCGCAATAGTTATCGAGAAATAAATTTTAATGTCTGAGCGAATGAAAGCGTAGACGGCGGCAGGCCGGACTCGGCAGGCAACGGTGGGGCATCATCTAATAGCGAGAGGTGGAGCGACGCGCCGAAAAAAAGTTGTCACGCAGCGAGCGGCGAGCTTCAGTAAACACTCCCCGCTCGCCCCTCGCCGCGCGTCGTTCGCCGCTCGACGCTCGGCACTCGCCCCTTGCCCCTCACCCCTCGTCCTTTACATGTGGTCGAGCATTATCATAAAGCAATATGCATATTGCAGGTTGCTTAAAGCGTAATTGTTGTTCATTTCCTCCATCTGAGAACAGTATTTTCCGGCATTAATGATTTTACCAGTACCAGGATTCTGTAACTTGCTATCGATGTTTTTCGGTATTGAAATTAACTAGCGACAGCAAAGATGTTAAAAACACAGCTTTCATAGGTTGGTTAACGATACCGAAAACCATCGATAGCAAGTCACAGAATCGCCGTACAGGTTTCAAGAACGAATAATTAATAATGCCAGCTCAATAGACGTGAAGTTATTACTGCTTCATGATAACGTTCGACCATATGTTTCAAGAACAACAGTTTAGAAATCTAGAAATTATACGAGAGTTGCAGTATGAAACTCTTTTTATTTGCTCGTTTACAAGTTACTAATTACTTAATATTGCTATTTTAACATAGGGTCTTACGGGAACTGAGACAAATAATAAAACATTCAAAAACTATTAAAACAAATGCTAAAAATTATATTTTTTGTATCATGTTTTTTCTTATAATTCAAGTAATTTCTTATAATTATGTATCGATCAGAACGCTCTGTTCAATTTTAATTTTCTGATGTTCTTATAAGAACATAAGAAATTACTTGAATGGCAACCGCGGGCACAACAACGCTTCCCCTGCCGTCTCTATCCCGCGCGCCTATACTCTGGAGGGTATAAAAGCCCTCCGGAGCTGGCGGAATCAAGTCAGTCTTGCCTCGGTGCTCCGAGCGAAGACACCCGGCGGTGGATGCCTCCCACATCCACTGCGGTCTACGCCGAGTACACGGGTGCTCCTGTCAATCGGCTGTAGACCATACCGGGGTGCATGTCAGCGGAGGCGCTACTCCGTCATGCACCCCGGCCCGCAGTAACGTACACCTAACGGGGTGCTTCCCGGTGTACACATGTTACTATTTCCCGTACCGGTCTCCCGTATCCGCTCCTGACTCCGTTCCCCCCGTGACAGCGGGCGTGTCCGTGTTTCGAGGGGACGGAGTATCTCCGCAGTAACGTACACTTAACGGGGTGCCTCCCGGTGTACACGGGTTACTGAAATTTCACGCATAACGAGACGCTGCTCGGGCGTGTTCCAGTCCTGACCCTGATCCGTTTTCCTGTTCCTGACCGAAGTTAAAGTCCAGGGGGGAATATTCGGGTGGGAATTAATTCTAATTCGCAAGTAGGCTTCCGTAGAATTAATCCCGTCACTTTTCCCCTTTTACAGACCTGAGGATCCCGTCGACATCCTCTCCCGATAGATTCCAGCGCGTTCCCAGAATATGTATCAATATAGCGGTGTTAATTAATTACTCTTGTAATAATTCCATCCGTGTTCCTGTACTTGAAGTATAGTATTTTTATTCCGTTCCGCTTAAATACTTACCAGTGCCACGACACTTGCGTTCTTTTCCGATTCTATTAATCTCATTTATTTAACCGCACAAAATTACACCGTATTCGTTTAAGGGGTTATACTACCTAGGCGCACTGAAAAATGAACCCTTCTTTGGGAATTTTATTCTCGAAAACTACTCAATGGATTAAAATGAAATTTGTAGACGTTATTATACATGTATTAAGGTATACAAAAATATTATTTATTTAAATTTAAGATATAAAATGGCGTCGTGGCACTAGGTAACTTGAACATATGTTTTGTTCGAGGAGGAAATTTGCGTACACTGTAGAAGTCTCTGTACACCACCTAGAGCAAAAAAAACTTTATCTTAATCTACATTAGTTTTTCCTTGGAAGTACATAGGATTATAATTTTTTTTTGAAAATTCGCAAATTGACATCAGTTTTAATTTTGTTTCTCAATTTTTGGGCAAAGAATCGACCTTAAATTATTTATTGCAGATGTAATTATTTATCAATCTTAAAACTCTTACGTACTTCGATGGATAATCTGTCTAAGAAGCTGCAGTTAAAATTTCAGGTCAATCCAATAAAAAGTGAGCGAGCTATGATGTACGCAAATCTGAAAAACATTCCCGGTTTCGAGAAAAACGCGTTTAAAGCAGATGGGCGCGTAACTCGGAGTAGTACGCGGTACTGCTTGCTGCGTGTTTATCGTCAGTCTAACGGTTATTATGGCGTCATGTGGTTTCTCTAAGATGTTATTGTTTTATTATTAATGACATCTATATATATATTTTGAAAAAGTATAACTGATGTATACCGGCAAAAAACTACCAACAGAGCTGTAATACACTTAAGCGCTCAAAGTCTCGGAAAAAAAATATAAAAATTGTTTATCAAAGCTTTATCCCCAAAATAGTTTTTGAATATCATTCTTGAACAATTTATGCATCATTTAAGCCAATAAAAAAAATATGAAAAAAAAATTTTCCAAGGTAGTATAACCCCTTAAATCGTATCGCGTATTAAGTATTACAATCCTGTATTCTTCTTTCCTGTATTCCGATCCAGCTGCGTACTTCTTGTAAACTGACTAATCCTTCTCTTTTCCTTTGTATTTAATCACAGGGCATACCCATTGTAAATACCACAATATCCTTTGTATTTAATCCTTGAATAAACTCGTTCCTACCATTTTAACTTTACCAGACACTTGTCCGATTTATTTCCGATCCTTCCAAGCGATTCACCTCACTAGTGATTAAGATCTCTTCCTCTTTTCCTCTCGACGGCCCTGGAGCTGAGCATATTCGGCAAATAAGAGGAACGGAGGATTTCTTTTGTCGACACACAGCACGTCAACACCGAAACCGAGACGCGAACTCTTTCAACCGTAATCAGAACCGTGCGTCTGATTAATTACCGTTTAAATATCCTGAATTAATAATACCTGCCGGAGTCCTGTCCGAAATCCGGAAACCGGAAAGAGTAAGCTTCGTTACAGATTACGTTTGGACGTATGTTCAAAATCGAGCATAAATTATTGTGTACGATGATCGACGGAAAGACAACTCAGTTTCTCACTGATACCAAGTCATCTTCGACTTGTTATATTTGTAAAGCGACCTCGAGAGATGAATGAGTTGAATCGAATTTATCAGAAATCATATAATGATGTAATGATATAAAATGGAATATGTTCTTCATGTCGCGTACAATTTGTCGTTCAAGAAATGGTCAACTAACAAAGAAACAAACATTGAAAGAGAAGAAAGCAAAAGGAGAATAAAGAAAAAATTCTAATCTCGCACTGGTTTAAGGATAGACATGGTGAGGCAAGGTTGTGGAAATACAAATGACTAATTATTTGTTGACTAACGACTTATATGGATGGTACTACATACATATATGCTAGTTATTGTCCACAAAGTTCTTTTTCCTGATGATAAAATCATAATTGTAACAGTAAACTATTGATAGGGACGTTACGCAGTAAGTAACAGAGCTTTGTTAAACGCGATTAACGTTTATTTAGTACAAGAACTGTGAATAACTTTCGGTCACAAGAAAACGATATATAAGGGACACGACTCGCTAGCACGCAATAGCGACGACGGACTACAAAACAGAACTGAACAGAAAGTGCACGGAAGCGCCCTGACGACGCCAGAGACAATCAAATGCGAGCGTCACGTAACAATGTGAACCATCGAACTGGAATATATCGCACGTGATAACATAGATCTCAACACCCCCCCCTCGATCAAACAGTTCGATTAAAAATAAAGAAAACTTATTCGATAATTAGTCCAAGAAGTCTTAAGCATTTCTTCATCCTCGGTGCGGGTAGACTCTTTGTGAGGAGATCCGATGCCATATCGTTGGTCGAGATGTGCTCAACTCTCAAGTCTCCTCGGCTGAGCGTCTCCCGAATAAAGTGGTGCCGTACGTCGATATGCTTTGTACGGCCGTGGTGCACCGGGTTCTTTGCAATGTCTCTCGCTCCTTGGTTGTCACAATAAATGACGGTTTCCCCTTCGTCGTGAAACTCCAGTTCGCGTAGAAATCTTTTCATGTAGATAGATTGTTTGGATGCCTCGGTTAGGGCCATGTACTCGGTCTCGGTGGAAGAGAGCGCAACTGTACGCTGCTTCCGGGACTCCCAACACACAGAATTACCAGCAAGGATGAAAGCGAAGCCAGTGTACGATCTGCGATCAATAGGACAGTTTGCCCAGTCCGAGTCCACGTACCCTCTCAGCGGTCTGCCAGTCCTGTGATAGAACAAACCAATGTCAGAAGAACCTTTCAAATAGCGCAAAACTCATTTTGCAGCCGTCCAATGCGATGAGTCATAGCAGGTGCCAAATTGACTCAGGTGGCTGACCGCGAAGGAGATATCAGGTCTGGTGCAGGTGGCAATATACATCAGAGCCCCTACAAGCTCCCTGTACGGGAAGTCGTCTGGCTCCCATTCCTCCTTGGAACAAGGCTCCAGCTTTTGATTCGGGTCCAACGGTGTAGATACGGCGTTTACTTCGAGCATTCCAAACCTCTCGAGGATATCGTGGATGTATCGCTTTTGTGACATGTGAATGCAGTCTCGCTCTTGGCGAAACTCAATCCCCAGGCAGAAACTCACTCTTCCAAGACTCTTTATCTCGAGCTCGGCCGATAGAAATCGCTTTAGTGCGTTGATTTCGCCTTCGTTTGCTGAGATTAAGAGGATGTCGTTCACATAAGTGGCTACGATCAGTAGATCGTCTCCACAGCCCTTGAGA